GGAGAAGAAAACTTAGAGAGAAGTTAAAGAAAAATAGAGTTTTAGAGAGAGAAAGTTATGGAGGAAAAGAAAAATGAAGAAGGAAAAAAGAAGAAGAAGAAAAGGGTCGTGGATGCTCGCGCCCGGTTGGGCGGTCTGTCGCCCGGTCCGGCGATCTGAATATTTTTACAAATGGAGTTCTCGCGCCCGATCGGGCGATCTAACGCCCAGATTTCTTCTTCTCTCGCGCCCGGTGGGGCGACATTCGCCCGATCCGACAATTTAACGCCCAAAAATTGTTTCTCTCGCGCCTAGTCGGGCGCCCTTCGCCCGGTCGGGCAGAAAAGTTTGTCCATATACGTCAAATCTCGCGCCCGGTCGGGCGGTATTCGCTCGATCGGGCGAAAATTAAACCATTTTGACACTAATTGCTCTCGCGCCCGGTCGGGCCTGAGGCTAATTTGACGAATTTTCTATTTTCTTCTTTTCTTCAATTTTTGGCTAACTTTTTTCCTTCAAACCTGTACAAAAACTCATAGAACTCATTAAATTCCTTCATCTCTCCTCTCATAAAAAAAAGAAAAACTAGTCTAAAAAGCATTAAAATACGGGTTGCCTCCCGCAAAGCGCTGGTTTATCTTGTTCCCGCACGACCTTCTTGCCAAGTACAAGAACTAGGACCCTTGACCCAACGCTTGGTCGGGTGGTTTCTCACCCGGTCAAGCAGTGTTTAGGCCACAACGCGGCTTCCTGACATACCCTGTGGGACGCAATTCACTTCATCTGGTGGATCCTCCTTGACTTGGATTGGGGGCTCTTCAATGCTACGCACTAAAGATCCCTCTTTGATCGAGGGTTGCTTCAAATTGTCATTGCATTTAGCACTTGCAACTCGATCTGGCGGAACACTCACCGTAGGCTCAATTTCCACAACTTGCTTGATTGTTTCCACCTTTTCGTCCTCAAAACCAAGACCGACAGTGTAGAGGGCTTTTTCTATCACATCAACTTCCTTCTGCCATTTGTCTATCTCATCTTAAAGGGATGCAACACAAGATACCGCCTCCAAGGGATCTTTCACAAGAGCTTGGGGCTTGTTAGAATAATTATGAACCACATTAACTTTAAAGCACTTCTCCTCTATCATGGAGCTTTTAGGGGTATTATTAAGATTAAAAATAATTTTATCGTCCCCTACTGATAGTGTTAATTTGCCACTTCTCAAATCCATAATTGCTCCTGCAATGTTAAGGAATGATCTACCCTAAATGATTGGAGTTTACATATCCTCAGCCATATCAAGAACAACAAAATCAACAGTTATATAAAATTTACCTACTCTAACATGAACATCCTCTAAAACACCTAAAGGGTATTTGAAAGAGCGGTCGGCCATTTGTAGGGTAATATTGGTAGTTTTTATTTTATCCATATTTAACTTGGAACATATAGATAATGGCATAACACTAACACTATCATCCAAATCACACAATGCATTATCAATCATTAGATTTCCAATATGACAAGGTATAGAAAAACTACTCGGATCTTTTAATTTAGGTGGAGATTTATTTTGAAGTACGACACTACACTCTGTAGTGAAAGCTACTGTCTCTACCTCACTAATAGACCTTTTTCTTGTCAATATTTCCTTCATAAATTTTTCATATGCAGGAATTTGTGTGATTAGCTCAGTGAAGGGAACTGTTACCTTCAAATCTTTTACCATCTCCAGGAACTTACCAAACTACTTATCCAAAATTGTTTTCAAGTGACGATTGGGGAATGGAAGTTTGATAACTGGATTTGGAGCATTATTGCTCTTATCTGGAGTGGCCACCTTTCCTGGAGTCGTACCATGCAATGTAGAATTAGATATATTAGTACTACTTTTTAGGCCTACGGGGCTATTAGCTACATTGTCGGGTTTAACGGAATCAAGATTAGCATTATTTAATAAAACAGGTTCATCGTCTCTGGGCATAGGGGGCCCTTCATAGTTTGAACCTCTCCTTGGAGTAATTTCATAGGCTTGATCCATAGGCCAGGTCGGGTGTGCTGGCAAAGCTCCCTGTTGGCGGGCTTGTAGAGTAGCGGAAAGTTGCACAATTTGATTATCTACAATTTTATTGTGTGCTAGAATTGAGTCAATTAGGGCATCTCTACTCTCCATGTGCTTCTGCATATTAACCAGCATCGCTCTAATTTCTACCAAAGTAGGGTCGGAAGATGAGGAGGGTTTTTGTGGTTGGTTCTTTTGGCCAGCATTGGGATGGTAATATTTTTGTTGTTGTTGTTGTGGCGCCTGTGGTTCTTGTGGTGGTGGATTTTGAACATTAGTACTCCGGTAGGAAAGGTACAGATGATTCCGGTACCCAGGATTGTAGGTGTTGGAGTATGGGTTGTTCTGACTATAAGCTTGAAAGGCATTAACTTGCTCCACGGAACTCCTGAAATCTTGTTCCCAATGACCTAAAATTCCACAATTTTCACAGAAAGCCTCATTAGCATTATTATTAATTGCAGAAACATTAGCTACATTAGCAGTGCTAAGATTATATAGTTTCTAGCAGATAGAGGTAATTGAGCTTGCAAAAAGGATATAGAGTCAACACTATGCTTCCCCTTGTTAGCAAAGCCTCTAGGATTCCCATATTGGGAATTTTGTATCGCCATTGCATCATCAACATTAAGATTCATAAACCTCCCACTAGCTGCAGAATCTAAGATTATTCTAGATGAATTGCCAATTCCATTGTAAAAGGCTTGGATTAACTGCCATTGTGCCAAAGTATGGTGGGGGCATTCTCTTTGTAAGTCCTTGAACCTCTCCCAAGCCTCATATAAAGTTTCATCGGCTTCTTGGGCAAAGTTCTGAATTGCACCCCGTAGTACGGCTGTTCTCTCTGCAGGATAATACTTGTTATAAAAATCCAAAACAAGAGTTTCCCAGTCAGTTATACCAAGTGCAGTTCTGTTTAAACCATTAAACCATAATTTGGCTTTTTCAGTTAAAGAGAAAGGAAAGAGAATCTCCCTAATTTGGTCTTGTGTGACCCCAACTTGCCTGATGGTATTACAGTACTGGCAATAGTCTGCAATATGAAGATTTGGGTCTTAATCCTTAGCTCCACTAAATTGCTTCCTTTCTATCATCGTTATAAATTGGGGTTTAATCTCAAACTGTACCCCATTAAGAGCCGGAGTGGGAGTAAGGTGTTGAAAATCTGTAAGCTTTGGTTGTGAGTAATCACTAAGCTTCTTTGGAGCCGTCATCTCTGATTCTGGATCTGATGATACCTCTGAGTTGCTAGAATCAGCTGGAGGATCTCGGTGATTATTATTATCACCAGAATCCGCCAGAATTTGCTTGTAAAGGTTCTTCTATCTATGGAAGGATCATTCGATCTCAGGATCGAATGGGATGTAACCTGATCTGGAACACCTGGGCATACACAAAAATAACTAAAAGCAAAATATGAGACCTGCCTCAAAGACCTAACGTTCTCAGAGACAAAAAAAAAAATAACCTAGACTACAAAAATAATCAGAAATAAAAATTAAAACCGTTTCCCCGGCAACGACGCCAAATTTTGACAGGGTAAAGTCATATCACCTAATCAAAAGTAATTCCTAAAACCACTAACTAATAATAGATAGGGAAGTAGGGTCGAATCCACGGGGAAATAAGTCTTTTTATTCCTAATTAACTATTATAATCTAGATTATAAAGTAACCAAAATATTATAATCAAAAGGAACTAAACTACGAAGATTAAGAATAAGGAGAAAACAATGAATTAAAAGGCCTAGGGCATAGGTTCACCAAGAAATAATATTCCAGGGTAAAACATAATAATCAAATATCAATGCTTAAATTAATCAGATTATAAAGGGCTTTCGCTACGTATTACAATCACACAATTAATTTACCGGTATTAAATCTCATCTCTCGAATCTCGACTTAACCATTATAAATCAACCTGCCTATTGAAACTAAGCCTAAACATCAATTCTCATCTTTCGAATCTTGAAACAATGTTGTCAAACTCGTGCATAAAAGATTTGCGTAAATCTAGTCACAGAGCATTAAATCAATCAATAGGAAATTAATCTAGCATTGACAATTAACAACAATAAATTACCCCTTCATATTATTTAAGGATCCCCATAAACCCTAGAAATAAAACTACTCACACATAATTAAATATAAACAAATCAAAGTAATAAAACAAGACATGATCAAAGGAATAAAAATAAATAACTAAGATTAAGAGAAGAGAAATCGTTACCAAAGAAATCTGGAATTAAGAATAGAGTTAAGAACAAAGTATATGAGAGAGAGAAACTAATCTAAAAGCTAAGTAGAGAGAGAAAATCTAAGAAAGAATTAAGAAAGATTAAAAGAAGTTATCTAAACTTGCTTAACGGAAAAGTATTTATAATAAGCAAGAATCCTAAACTAAAACAAACTTAAACGTCGATAATTAACTCCTAACAATAACACGCGCCCGATTGGGGGAGGCACCTCCCGAACGGGCGCGCCTTTTTCCTTCAGGTACATTTCCTCGCGCCCGGCCGGGCGCGCCTCTGGGCGCCAACCTCTTTGGCCAGGCGGCACTCTTGGCCACTATTTGGACTTCAATTGGGCTTTAATTCTTCGGGCCAATCTGGGTTTCCTATTTGGGTCTTGAATACTTGGTCGAAATGCCCCAGTATCACATATACCGAGCCCTTAATCACCGGTTCGATGTCTCTAACCGGCCCTGGGCTATAGAAACTGGTCGTGCTTCTCCAATGCTCGTAATTGCTCCATAATATCTCGGGAAAATGCTCCAAAAGTGCAAATCCGTGCAAAAGTCAAACAAATCTACGAAAACACTAGAAAACATCAATTAGTAATAAAAGTGGCTCTAAAGATCCAAAAACACTACTAATTATGACTAGGGCTGGCAAAAACTGACCCGACCCGAAAACCTGACCCGAACCTGACCCGAAAAAGGTGGGTTAGGCTTGAGTTTTTCGACCCGAAAACTTAAATGGGTCGGCATGAACCCGAACCCGAAATTAAATGGGTTAGGTTAAGGTTGAAAATCTCAACCCGAAAACGACCCACTTAACCCGAAATAAATTTCAGGTCGGGTCAACCCGAACCCGACCTGATAAACTCGAACATTATACGGTATAAAAAAAAAACAAACATGATGGATTAAAATTCAGCCCAAGCCTAAATACGTAACTAGTATCTAAAACCCTAAAATCCTTAATGCCTCCTCACACAATCAGCCGTTTAGGCTCTCTCCTCCTCCTCCTCTCTCTCTTCAACTCTAAACTCTTGAAAGTTGAAACCTCAAATCCAAATAAATTATTCTCGGTTGTTCCCATCCTTAGATCTTCCTCTCCTTCATAATTTAAGTGTTTAAAGATTCACCACTTCAACCTTCAAGGTAATTGCTATTTTGAATTTTGCTTTTATACGATTTTTTGGTTGTTTAGATACCAATGTTGCATGTCTGTTGTTTTTGTTTTTCTTTGCTATTCAAAGCCTAATTTTGATGTTGTTTGTTGTTTTAGTTGTTATTCAAACCATAATTTAATTATATGATACTGTATTTTTTATTTTAATTGATGTTTGTGTTTGTTATATTATTGTATTGTTGGGATTGAGTACTTTATTATTGATATTTGCTTAAATTGTTTTTATCAGATTTGGATCCTTACACGCCACAAACATATCCTCTGCTTCAGCTTGCTTCAAGTCTCTGCTTCAACTTGCTTCAGCTTGCTTCAACATTGTACATTATTTGAGAACTATGTTGTATAAAGTTTGTAAAAAAAAAAATCAAAAACATTGATTGATTTTGAATTCTGATTTGTTATTTATTTAGTATACTATATTTTTGTATCTAATCTTTAATTAGACTAGCTAAATAACTTATTTTAAGAATCAGGTTATATTCGGGTTGAACCAAACCCGGCTACTATCAGGTCATTTTCAGATTAAAATGACCTGATTTAAACCCAAATAAAAAAATCAGGTCAATTCAGGTTACTTTAGGGTTGACCCGAACTCGAAAATATCAGGTTCAGGTTGGGGTTCTCAACCCGAAAACTTAAATGGATCAGGTTCGGGTTGAGGGGTAGCTGACCCGAAATCAGCTGACCCGAACACGAACCCGACCCGACCTGATCCATTTGCCAGCCCTAATTATGACCAAGGGACGGGGGTAAAATACTATATAAATTGGACATATCAACGACATCCCAGCGCAAGTGATTAGGTTGCACTGTTATGGGCAGCGCAACTAATTGTCTTGCGCGCGGCTTTATGGTGAGATTCGATTTTATATTTTCGGTATAATTCTGAATCTTCTGCAGCGCAACTCTGGAGGTAGCGTTGGGTGTCGCGTGCAATTGAATTAGTTGCGTGCGGCAGCCCAGCAAAACTATTTGATATGCGCGCGGCTTTTTCTAGGGCAAGACTAAGATTTAACCTAGGAGCTCCTAAATCTGTCATTATTGGGTTTTAAGCACGGGCATAAGCCTAATTATGATCGAATTTAATTAATTGTGTTGGGGTTTGGTGAGTCCGACTCACCGCGGAAACAAACCCAAAAACAAGACCGCACTCGCAATAAATAAAACCATAAACATAATTATATTAATCACAAGATTAAGATAAGCTAATTACCTTTGACGCGTGCTTCGCTCCAAAATGAGCTCTTACTTGAAAGCTTCAAGTCCCGCTCACATAGAGACCTCCAACGAAGTCCACCCGCACCAACAAAACCGACTAGGTCCAATGTCTTTAGGTTAGCAAGACCCGACCAATAAAACCCGAGTAATTATATTGAGTTCAAAGGTTTTCACTAATTGTGATGCCTTTTCCAACTCTTACTCAAGCATCATTCCCAATGCCCATACTTGGGTATTTATAGGAAATGATGGGAGTATCATTTACTCTCCCATCAATGTGGGATAATATGATTTTTCCATTTTATTTTAAAGCTAAAATAAAATTAATAATCAAGCTAGTAATAAATCAACAAGTGGCAAGCTCATGTGAGTGGTTAGGTGAGGACCACTTGGAGAAGGGAAGGGGACCAAACTTGCTCCCCACTCCCTCTCCCATAGCCGGCCACCTCACTCCAAACACACTCAAGGACCACTAGCCACATGGCACCCACCCTTGGGCACCAAGGCAGCCAAGGTGGGCTGCCATGTGCTGCTGTCCGTGGCAACCGTACCCAGCAAGCCCAGCAGGCCAAGCACTCGCATGCGGGCTGCCAGGCGCTGCTGGCCAGCAAGCCTAGCATTCTTGTGCGGGCTGGTGCTGGCCTTGTGCCTTGGCCATCACTGCTAGGCAGCAAGCAATGGCCTAGCCATGCTGCTGCTAGCTGTGGCGAGCTGGCGCGCCTAGCGTGCTAGCTGCTGCAGCTTGTTGCGGCATGGCTTGCTAGCCATTGCGCGCACAAGGCTGTGCCTAGCATGCTAGCACGCACTAGGCAACGCCTAGCCTTGCGATGCTAGCATGGGTGCGCTAGCACGCACCAGCCAGCCTAGGCTCGACTTGGTGTGCATGCTAGCCACCATGCTAGGCCATACACCCTTAGCACTCGGTTTGCTTGGGCATTCCGATGCTACGGGTATTTTGGTATTTTGTTGATTTATTACTATTTCTCGTCTCGTCTTTCACTATTTTTTGACTCGACTTCCGACGCTCTAAGCTCGAATTTCCGACGTCTAAATGAATATTACTCGGTCAACTCATTAATTCCTTCCGATTTAATTCGTCGGTTCGGTTTGTTGAATGCTTGGGTGTGACCCGAAGGGTTCAGTCAAGATTAAGCTGTAATATTAATTATTCATTAATATTACTGATCGGAAGAGGCCTCCACCCAGGCATTCCGATCACTTGACCTCACTGAATATATTAGCTTTCTAATAATTCTGAACCCACTAACAGAATAGTACACTTGTTCGAAGGACACCATTCCTTTCAATCTCCCACTTGTCCTTCCGGACATGTGCGCATTTTGTGTACAGCCTTTTTCCTATGTCGCTTAATGTCTCTTCATGAACTATAAGGTAAGATTTATTTTGTCATCCTTATTACGTCCAGAAGTGTTTCCCGATTCCGAGTCCGACTGTCAATAAACAGATGATTTCTAAAATCCATCCGAGCACGACCATGCATTTTACAGTCTCGCTCTACGAGAGGCCTTGTATACAACAAAGACATCTTCCCTATTTTAGTAGGGGGACATTCCCAGTCTTGTAATGTAGCTCCTCTTACTGATAGGACCTAGTCGCCCGAGTGTTGCCGTTATGATCCCTTATTAAGGAAGACGTTTGATAACATCAAAGCGAACTAGTACTCAAACAAGAGAACTCACAATACTCATGGTCGAGGAAATAGGTTCCGATAGCCATAATGAGAAGTATGCTTATGACAAATTTTTTTAATTTCTTAAGGCACTCCGCATATAAAATTCGAATCTTCTGATTTATTAAAAATACCCCACAAAAACATCATCCACTGAAAAGGGAAGTATTCTCATAGGTCGATCTAGTATGGTTCTAAACCAATACCTGTGCAAATGATTTATGACAATCATGTCCTTGTAGCACATGAAACGGTGCTATAAATGAAACTACAAACTAATCTCAATTGGTCATTAATCGTCCATCGTTTAAATGACCTTGATTAGGGATATTTTTTTATTATAATATTCAATGTTCACTTAATAGGTGTTTCCTTACCAAGACTGGTCTTGATACCCTATTTTGAATATTCTCAGAATCGAATGGACTCATTATTTAATCCTAAACCACAATTAAATAGCATAACGAAGTAATAAAATATTGCATGAAATTTTACATTACCCCAAAACATGAATGGTTTTCCTTAGCGTCTTACATTAATTTTTCTCAAAATTAACTAAAATACTAAACAAGGAAATCAAAGCCAGTCTCCTACATGCTTGATTCCCATTGCCTCAACGTGCTTGTTGTGCTTCACTTGAGGCAAAGGTTTAGTAAGTGGATCGGCTACATTGTCATCCGTTCCAACTTTGCAAATTCTGATTTCACCCTCTGATTTCCATTCTCGTATCATGTGAAATCGCCGCTTGACATGTTTGACCTTCTGATGTTCCCTAGGCTCTATGGCCTGAGAAATAGCTCCATTGTTGTCACAATAGAGGGTTATTGGACCCTTTATAGAGGGTACAACATCAAGTTCACCAACGAACTTACGAATCCAAACAACCTCCTTAGCTGCTTCAGCAACTGCTAAGTATTCGACTTCAGTTGTAGAATCTGCAGTTGTACTCTGCTTTGCGCTCTTCCAACTAAACGCCCCTCCATTTAGACAGAACACATATCTAGATTGCGATTTGAAATCGTCTCTGTCTGTCTGGAAGCTTGCTTCGGTATAACCTGCCACAACTAAATCCTCTGCACCACCATACACCAGGAATTTATCCTTGTTCCTTTTCAGGTACTTTAGGATATTTTTGGCAGCAGTCCAATGCGCCTCTCCTGGGTCTGATTGGTAATGGCTCGTAGCACTCAAGGCATACGATACATCTGACCTAGTCTATATCATGGCATACATGATCGATCCAATAAGCGAAGCACATGGAATCTGATTCATTCTTACCCGCTCATCAGGTGTCTGTGGACACTGCTTCTTGCTTAGGGTTATGCCATGTGACATTGGCAGGTGACCTCTCTTGGCCTCCTCCATGCAAAATCGAGCAAGTACCTTATCAATATAAGTACTCTGACTCAATCTAATCATCCTTTTCGATCTATCCTATAGATCTTGATTCCTAGTATGTACTGAGGCTCTCCCAAATCTTTCATTGAGAATCACTTTCCAAGCTAGGCCTTTACAGACTCTAACAACGGAATGATGTTTCCAATGAGAAATATGTCATCGACATATAAGACTAGGAAGGCGATGTCACTCCCACTAACCTTTTTGTAAACACAAGATTCATCTGGATTCTTGATAAAACCAAACTTACTGATGGCTTCATCGAATCGCAGATTCCAACTTCTGCTTGCTTGCTTTAATCCATAAATGAACTTCTTAAGCTTACAAACTTTCTTAGCATTGTTTTGGTCGACAAAACCTTCAGGCTGTGTCATATACACAGTTTCTTCCAAATAACCATTAAGGAAGGCGGTTTTGACGTCCATCTGCCATATTTCATAATTGTAATATGCAACAATCGCTAGGAGGATCCGAACGGATTTAAGCATTGCGACTGGTGAAATGGTTTCATCGTAATCAATACCATGAAATTTTCTGTAACCTTTTGCCACCAATATAGCTTTGTAAATGAATACATTTCCATCTTTGTCGGTTTTCAACTTGAAAATCCACTTACATCCGATAGGTGTATAACCTTCGGGTAAGTCAACCAAGTCCAAGACTTGATTTTCAAACATTAAATTTATTTTAGATCTCATGGCATCTTGCCATTTAGCAGAGTCGGTGCTTGCCATCGCTTGCTTGTAGGTTGCCGGTTCATCTCCTTCCATAATCAGGATGTCCTGATTCTCGGTTAATACTAAACCAAGATGCTGTTTGAGCACTTTGACTGTCATTATGATTTTGTTGCTCATCCTCACGAACTTCGTCGAGTTCGATTTTCCTCCCACTTGTCATTTTGGAAAGGTGCTCCTTCTCCAAAAAGACACCATCGCGAGCAACAAACACTTTGTTCTCCGATTTGTTGTAGAAGTAATACCCTTTGGTTTCTTTTAGGTAGCCCACAAAGTAAACCTTGTCAGATTTGGGATGAAGTTTGTCAGAAATCAATTCCTTGA